AGCTGCCAAGGCTGTTTGCAGCAGGCAGCCAAGGTGCTGTGCCACCTCTGGGGAAGCAGAGGTGCCTGGAGCACGGAGTCACAGCCCCAGCAAAACCCAGAGCACCCCTGCTCTGGAGCTCAGCAACATGCCAGGCTGCCAATCACAAAGTCAAACATTTCACACTGACAGGCAGGGCTTCTGAGTAAGATGAAAAATTCTACAAGCAAGAGGGTAGGAAAAAAAAAGCCTTTAAGAACTTTCAATATTCATTCACTCTTTACTATCAAATTTTCATTAGAAGGAAGATTTCTGTGGTAACAGGAAACAAAAAAAACAGGGAAAAGGAAAAACTACAGCAAAAGGCAGCATTCAGTTTTCATAGTCTGCATACCTAGCATGAAAATTTTTGTTTAGCAAAAAGCTGCTAAAAATTATATTGTTAACTTTTATGTAATAGTAAAATCTCAAACTCAATTACAGACATCTGTTACAACCAGCACTATGTAAAAACACAAGTCAATTCAAAACGTGATGATTCTGAATACAGTCTGTTAAGATAATATTAACAGTCTCCAAACACTAATTTTCCACTGGCTAGTCTTCAAGAGAAATTACTGAGTATGAGTTTTAAAAAAAATGTAAAACCTCCAAACAATTGCCAAATCTGAAATATACATTTCTAAGCAGTAGTACCAGTATAAAAAATGTCCACTTTCTGAAACAGCATTCATAATAAAATTAGAAATGATGCTATAAGAAATAATAATGTTAGAACAATCCAGTATTTCCATTCATGCACACAATATGGGAAGCCTGCACTCAAACTGAGCTATGAAAATGTATGAAAATACTATCATAATCACTCCCATACTTCAAGCTTACCATATTATCTCCAAATCTCAAGTATCATTTGTGTTACATTTCTTCAGAAATATCACAGAAATAAGGAAAGATAAAGTAATAATCAAAATCTACATTGTTCACATTTACTACAAAGCCCAATCCCAAGAAAATGAAACTGGGTAAAACACAAATAGATTAAAAAAACCAATTTATAAGATACAATTTCTTGCTTCCTGTGAATATACAAGGAAATCTGGTCCACTATGAAAGAATTTGTCAAACACCCTGTCCAGCTCTGTGCTATTTACTTTACTTCATTGATCATGACTAAAATAAAAAAAGTTTTCAGACTAATAATGTTTACAATGTGAAGTCCTGACCACAAAATGGCATTTGCTTATCCTTACACAGAAAGTGTAATTATCCACACAATGAAATCTAGGTCTGATTCAGGAAATTAAGAAGACTCTCTATTAATTTAATTTCTGTTATTTGATCCAAATTTTATTAATACAATGTTCACAGTACAAACTAACTTACATCCTTAAATATGTTATTGATAAACTGTTAAGACATTTTTCTCAGAAGTGACATTGACAGAAATGCAACATAGTTTCCCTAGCTTATGTTCCCATCAAATGACAACAGAAATTGTCCTGCTTCCTAAGTTCTTGTGCTACATGTTATGCACTGAGGGAAAACTCTGAGAATATTACCTGAGCAAATGAAAGCATCCTCTCTTTACATGAGGACACAAAGCCTCACTGCTGCTGCCAGCACAGCTGTTACTGAGCATGCTGGAGACCCTTTCTATTCTGCCACTCCCTCTTAGTACATTTCCTTAGACTTCATTCTGAAACCTCAGGTTTTTGTTTGCATATGTACAGATATGTACCTATTTTTATATATGTGTATACACATGTAAAAGAACTGGAGCTTCCCCAGAGACAAACTTTCCTTTATCAGGTTCACAGATCTAGCAAAGAAAAAGCCTTACATATCAAGTCCCAGAAGGATTGTATTGAAATATGACTTTGTTAATGCATAAAATTTACTACTTAAAGTCTGTCAATAATAGGAAGCTACTAATTAAACTATGAATTCTCTGCCAATCTCAAACATATGCTTCTTGATACTTAATATATTGTACCTAACACTGTAATCAGTGGGTTTATTAAAAATTAAAGGCAGACTTTCTTTTTTAAATATTAGGCTGAATTTAATTGACAAGAAAAACCTGCTAGATTTGCCCATTAATTTCATTATGTCAGTTATTTCACTATCTCCTAGCCATTAAAAATAATTTCAGCACCTCTCATCCTTGAAACCTCTACTTTCTCGATGATTAATTTGTCTTCACTATATTCTAGAACACTCTTAAATTACCCCATTTTAGAAAACATGTATTCTTTTCAAGAACTCTAAAAATTCTTCATTGATAACATACCTTAAGGATCACAGATATTTATTTACTATAGATAAAGGAAAGGTTTTGCCTTGAAAAGACTGAAGCACAGCATGAGCTCTTAGAGAGATCATTCCCAAAATATCCAGCTGTTCTGCTGCAGGATGGAATTGAGCAGTCCTGCTTCTATCAGGTTTGTGCCACTCCAGGAACTGACTGGAGGCTGCAGCAGCCCTTTGTAGCCTGGGGCTGATCTGAGCTATCCTGGCCATGGTGCTATGGGTCAGTGACCAAGCAGGAGCTGTCACCAAGCCCCACTCTCCTTATCCTCTTCTTCTGCCCTCTTCCAATCCCATGGATCTTCCTTTGAAAAGAAGCTGGATATAGCTCCCAACTATGGTCATGTCACACCAGGGAAGGGCTGCCAAAGAACCAAAGATTGCCCTGTTGGGACAGGGACATAATTTCACAGCAGATGGCAAGTCTGCAAATCCAGACCCTGTACATGTATATTGGGCTAGGAGTAACCACTGCATTTTCCTCTTGAGATGATAACACAGGTTCTCATGTATCATAAACATGACATGTTCAATTATTCCACAAGGGATTTGGTCCAAAACTCACCTTTCTAGTTTCCAGCTGAGCTTCTTCCTGGCAGCACTCCCTGCAGAAGGGATCCAGCTGATTCAGATTGAACTGCCCAAGAAGGTTGCAAGAACTGCACAGCAGGTTACTGGAGAAGCCCAGCTCTCTGCAAGCTTCTGATGACAACTGTGCTCCATAAACACTCACCTGAAAGTCAATACAATGTTGCACTTAGTATTAATTATTTTTTTAAAAGATGGTTTTAAATGCTGCAATGATTAGAAAGAATGAGTTAGTCTCTTGACACGGTAGCATAAAAAGCCCCAAAGGAGCATTCCAAACTCTGCTGAAGCTACATATTAATTATGGCTCACTTATTAAATCAATGATGGTAGTAATTAAAACCATTTTCTTGCGCCTTGCTATCCACCCCTTTGATGCTTTATTGTCACCTCTTCACTGTCACTGCTGCATCTGCTCCCCTTGGAGCAATGACAGGTCTACTGGCATTGTCACTTGGCTTCCAGCAGCCTCTCTCCGGACACCTTTGCCCAGCAGATCCCTAAACAATCCATGAACGTTAGGCCAATGCTCTCCTGAGGATTTTATTTTGGGTTGTGTGTGTGTGAGAAAGAACCAACCAAAACATTAAGAGTGTATGAAAGCAAGTAAAGGCTCCATTACATGATAATTCCTCATTCAAGCAGTTTTGGTTACACAGCAAGCTCAAAATACCTTGAGAATAAAAGTACAGAGAGGTAAAGGAAACAATAAAGAGAAGGAAATCTCTATCCCTAATATTTTTACTCATTTTTTAGTATCGTAACTATCATACTTTCCTGAAACAATAATAATAATAATAATAATAATAATAATAATAATAATCATAATAAATGTCTCTGATTAGGACTGGAAAAAACCCCTAACACTCCAGAAAGCAAATTCCCATCAGACCAAGATAATTTCAGACACTTAGCAAGTGATGCGCCACATTTCATCAGCGTTTGCTCTTTCAAAGCTTTGGCTCCAAATCTACGCTACACTATTGCTTTCTTTTCACACCAAATAATTTACTGTGTTAAAAAAAGGCAGCACCAATACAAAACTATTTTAGGAAGAGGGCAGAAGTAGAGCCCAATCTCCGACATGGAAAGCAAAAGAGGCGGCCACGGCCGCAGGAGCAGTCGCCCCGCGGACGCCCGCGCCTCCCGCCCCGGGACATGTATAACGCTGCCTTCCCCGCCCTCACAACCGCTCCTGGTCTCAGGAGCTGCAGCCGCGCTCAGCCCCGAGCGCGAAGGCGCCGGATCGGCTCTCACCGCCTGCAGCCCCAGGAGCCAGCAGAGCCAGCGCCGCCCCAGCGCCCCCAGCTCGGCCACCACCGCCATCTTGGTGCCGGAGCGCCCCTGCCAGCGCCGCCGGGGGCCGCGGAAGGACCTCACTCATGGCGGGTGACCGACACACCGCCTGATGCGGGAGAGCACTGACTTGCTCCCAGCCCCCGACACGGCGAGCACAAACTGCTAACCCAGAGTATCTTCTGGAATTCTAGAGCAAAGACATTTTATTCTGTTCAGAGCAGTGCTTTGCAGCGGGGCTGGAGAAACTGCCGTTCTCCAACGCTGGTCCGGCATTGCGGAAACAACCCCGAATAAAGCCCTTTCCCCTTTTTCGGGAACTGCCAACTGGCACATCGGCCCTCAGCCCAGTGACTGACAGCCGGTCTGACCAATAGTATTGTGCTTTCCCCACGGCAGTGGTGCCTGGACCCAACGAGATCGGGCGGATGGGCGGGACTTCAAGCGGCGCCTTCCAATCAGGAAGGGACGCATGTAGGCGGGACATCTCCCCGCTCCGGCGGCTCAGCGCGGCGGGGGAGGCGGAGCGATTCCCGCTTCCGGCCAATCGGAGCGCGTGAAGGGCGGGGCTGCGGCAGCATCGCCCAATGGCGGGGCCGCGGGGCGGGGCCCACCGCGGGGCCCGGCGGCGGCGGCGGCAGGGGCGGGGGCGGGCGCGCGGCCGGGCGTTCGGTTGCCGAGCAGCGCGCGCAGGGCGGGCGGGGCGCGGCGGGGGCCGGGCCGGGCCGGGCGGGGCGGGCGCGCTGCGGGCCGTGCGCGCGGCGATGTGAGAGCGGCGGCGCCGGGCCCTGTCCGCGCCCCCGGCCGCGCTCCCTCCGTCCCTCCTCGCCCGCGCCGTCCCCGCGGCTCCCGCCGGCCCCCGCGGGCCGGGCCCCGCGTTATGTCGTGATCCCGGGCGGGCGGCGCTGCTGCTGCTGCTCATGGGGCTGCTCAGGATTATGCTGCCGCCCAAGTTGCAGCTGCTGGCGGTGCTGGTGTTCGGGGTGGCCGTGCTGTTCCTGGAGAACCAGATCCAGAAGCTGGAGGAGTCCCGCGGCAAGCTGGGTGAGCGGCGGCGGGCGCGGCCGGGCGAGGCGCGGGAGGCGGCGGGGCCGAGGCAGCGCGGCGGGGCCGGGGGAGCCCCCGGGCGCTGCTCCCCTGGCTCCGGGCGCTGCCGTGCCCCGCTACACGGTACCGGGTCGGTGCGGGCCCGCCGCTCTGCAGGAGGGGCTGTCCGCGGCAGCCTTTGGCCTCTGAGTTCGTTTGTTTGTTCTGCGAGATCGGGAGAGCTGTGCGAGGTCAGCGCTGGGAGGACGAACGTGTCCGCCGTGTCCGAGGGGCTCTGTCCGAGGCGCGGTGCTCCCCTCACGGCCGGGGCAGCAGCGGCCGGCCCGCCCCTGCCTCCGCAGGCACCTGCGAGCGGAGAGCAGCGGCCGTGCTGACCCAGCTGAGGCTGCTGCTGCAGCGAATTACCATCTTCTGCACATCTGATTTCCAATTCAGACCTTTTACTAACGCTTGGCACTGTAATGGAAAGCACGGTGTAAAGAAAAGAAATGCTCTTAATGACAAATGGATAATTTGTTTACCTCTCATTTAATGTAGGATGTTATTTTCTGAATTAACTGAGTGTAGTTAGTGATTTCTTAGACTGCCACTGAGCTGTACTTCAGTGAATAGCGGACTAGAAATCTCTTGTGTAAAATTTCTTTTACTTTTCCTGCCTTAAAAGGGTATTTTTAGAGTAATATCTGCCTAGTGGGTAGCATCTTACTACTTTGTTGTATATAAGGCTGCAGAACTTGTAAAGCTTTTACATTGCTTAATTCAGGGTCTCCTGGATGTGAAAAAACACCATTCTCAACCTAGTTTGTGGTGCCTAGGAGTTGTGAAAACAGAGCACTGAGATTTCTGGTGTGTACAAGATAAGGAACTGATTCACAAACTTTGTGGATTTGCTTTCTCCTGTTATTTGACTATATACTAAAATATTTACATTATTAACAATAGTTAATAGTGTAAATTTAAGTTTGTAGGTAGAAAAGTGCACATCCTTCTGGTGTTAACAGTAGAAGTGGATTTGAGTGACATGGGAAGTTTACCAATGAGTTTTTAACAGAGTCCACATACTTTAATGTTGAGCTGTATGAATGCCATGGGATTTTACTTCACAGCATTTCTTTTCTATTCCATTCTCTCTGAACTGCATATTAGTGATTAGGACCTGGAAATTGCAGTGGATGACTGCTTGAGTTGAGGGAGGCCCTTACTCTGCGTACTTTTCAACTAAAAGTTCTTATCAATTATAATCGAGGCTCTTTTTTTGCAGGGTCTCAATAACTGTAAACAAACATTTGAAGAAGAAAATGAAATTGGAAGATAAAGCAAGCAAATGTTGCCATAGTGCTGAAGGTTCAGTGGTACTTTGTATACATCTGCTCTAAAGTGGTTCATAGCCATGGCTTCAATGCTTCTATTGCTGACAGTGTGTGCTACTTTAGTGAAATCTACTCCTGGCATTTAAAGAGTAACATAATATGTGTGAGAATCAAGAATTTTGCCGGTAAAACTTCTTCCTCCCTAATATATATGCAATGGACATATTTAACTTATATATTTAGAAGATTAAAATACTTAAACTGCTTTGGGACAAGAATCTAATTACTATCTTGTTCTGAATTTATTTCTTGAGGAGAAGGGAAAACTATTGTGAAGTTTCCTAAAAGTAAGATGGAAAGATTTGCTTTGTGTGCAACTTACTGGTGACTCTCCAAAACCCATGGAAGGAAGGGGAAAAGGACTTTCTGCAGCAGCTTTGAACTCAGATTCCAGTTTTTAGTCTGAGAGTACGCTTTGTTTAAAAGCTTCTAGCTGTCTGAATGTCTCCCTTATCACGTGTTTAGTATGTATTTTATGACTTTCAAATATTAAGATTTCATTACAGCTGGTTTTTTACCATCATGATTGGTTAGAATTCTACTGAGGTGCATTATGGAAAATGGTTTTCTCCAGATCAATGCAATTAATTGGCCTAATGCACTTGAGTGCAGATTTTCCTCCCTGTCCCCTAAAAGAATGGTGTGGGTGTGTGTGGAGCAACACTATGATTTGAGGGTAAGGACAAAGTAGCTCTTTTGTTCTTTCAGGTGTGTTTCAGTGGGTGCTTTATGTAGCTGCATTTCTGTTCACAGAGAAAAGCAAGGCACAACTTCCCAAGGATATTTCTGGGATTCACATTCTCTGAATGTGAGAGAAAGAAAAAACAATTCTTATCTCATTTACTGCTCCTGTGTTTTGGAACAAGTGAAATACATTGAGGAAGATTATTTACCTGAAGGAATTTGCTTGATTGGATTCTGGTGTGAGTGTTTTGATTCATTGACCAGTTGAATCCACGTGTGTGTGTTGGGACTGACAGTCACCAGATTGTGTGCAGTTGAGTTCGTGCTTGGTGCAGATTCAGTTTAGATGTAGTGTAATACAGTATAGAATAATATAGTATAATAAAGTAATTAATTGGCCCTCTGATATCAATGGAGTCAGATGCATCATTTCTCCCTGCCATGGGGGTCACCTTGCCTTTACTATAAGTGGAACTCAACTGCACAGAATCTGGTGACGGTCAGCCCACAGTCCCAACACACCTGGATTCAATTGGTCAATGAATCAAAACGCTCACACCAGAATCCAGTCAAGCAAATTCTTCCTCAATGCGTTCCACTTGTTCCAAAACACAGGAGCAGTAAATGAGATAAGAATTGTTTTTTCTTTCTCTCACATTCAGAGAATGTGAATCTCAGAAATATCCTTGGGAAGTTGTGCCTTGCTTTTCTGTGTGAAGAGAAATGAGGCTACAGCTTTGTATCAGAAGTCCTGATACATGGTGTTTGGGGATTGGGCTTTGAGCTATGCCGAGTGTTTGCATTGATATATCACATGATAAACTGTCATCTTGGAAAGTTCTTGTAAGAGTTAGGCATTGGCTAGGAAAACCAAATTACTTCAGATTTGATAGCAAAATAATTGTGCAGTCTTTTCAGCAGGTCTAAAAATGTTCAACTGTAGTTTCAGACAGAAAGGGCTTTATCCAAATCCTTCATGTATGAGCAACTCCAAATTCTGTAGTGAACAGTTGGGGGCCTTAATTTCAGTTTAATAACTTAGAATATTTTGCCTGTAAAGTGAAATTGGAACGTGTTTCTGGGTGAAACAAGAATGGGAACTTCTTTTTTTCTGTAAGACTTTATATGGATAAACTTGGTCACCCTGGCAGACTTCTTATTTGAGAAGTAGAGGACATACAAGCAAATGACCATCACAAATGCTGCTGCTTTTTGTGACAAAATTGCTGTGATCCTTTAAAAGGGTATTTATAAACCTATGGGCTTTTTCATATGAAAAATAACTTACTAGTTAAAAAAGGTAAATAAAAATATTAACATCTTTGCAGCTCTGTAAAAGTAGTTTATGGTGGTGAGATCACAAGCAGAGTGTGAACAATTTGAAATACATTTTTTGTGAGATTTCTACCTACAGTTATTAATCTTTCATATTTTCAGGTTTACATGATCCGTTAACATGCTCTCCAGGCTAAGTTGTCCCTAATTGCCAGTGAGAACTTTAATGTTTTTATTTAAGCCTGGTGTAGGTATGTGCCCATTAGCTCTAGGAATACACAGCCCTGATAGAGAATATTGCTCCTGAAAGGCAAATGTTGAGATTTCACTGTTGTTCCTGGAACAGAATAACAGAGGTAATGTCTGGCTGCCCCTTTTGGGTTTTGGAAGCCTTCTGAGTGCAGCTCTGCCTTTGTTATAAATTGGCCTAGCATTTAACATGTTTAATGTGTACCATGCCATCTCCTGCATTGTCATTAGTATTTGTGGTGAGTTGGATGAAAAAAATTAACCAGCTGGATGTAAACTATCCCTATCTTCACTTCCATCCCCAAGATTTTGTAATCTATTGGTGGGGAGAAGGAAGGGGGAAGTTCTTATGTGTTCTAGTCCTTCTGTTTAAATAATAGTGTTTTACAGCACTAGAAGCACTTCAGGATTGGCCAGGGAAGTGGAAGAAGACAGTGTCTCATTTGAGGATTGAAGTTTGTAGGATTGGTGAGAGAAGGTGAGGATAGGAGGTGGAGAAGGATTGCTCTTTGGTGGGGGGGGAATGAAACAATAATGCTACTTTCTAGCACTTTAGTGATGTTTCCATATTGTATAGGAAAAAGGCTTTGTCTTAGAAACAGAATATCCCATAACAGGGAAAGCAAGGATTGAACCTGCTTCAGATCATGTTGAAAAACTTCATAGCTGTAATGTGGGAGTGTTTCTTCTGTTAAGTGATAAACAAAATAATGGCTCATATCTATTAATTCAGCACCTTGAATTCAGAGTATTGAAGTCTGTAATTTAAAAGAAATCCTTAATATTTTACTTTTTCCTTTTCTTTTTTTTTTTTTTTTTGTTTAAAAATACTTACATCATTTGAAAGGCTAAGGCTCTTTTTGTTAGCCCAGGAAAGAAAATTTAATTGATGTATTCCATATTAAAAAAAAAAAAATTAAGGTGATTTCCTAGCATATGTGACCGTTGATGGGGTAGTATCTTTCTAAGCATTTTGTGCCTAATAAACCACTGTTCCCTTGAAGTTAAAGGCTTTAACTTCCCAATGATTAAGTCTTAGGGTTTATGGACATAAAAGACTTTGGGATGATGAAATGATAGGCATTTCATGTTTCCTTTATTTAGAAATGAAAATCTCCTGTCGGTAGGCCTGCCTGTTGCATGCTGTTGGGAAATCTCTTAGAAAATGTATTGTCTGTTCTAGTATAGCATGCATGGTTCCTTAGCATATTGTTATTGTAATTGAGCATTTAAAAGAGGGACACAGAACATTATCAAGAGGAGTTTGTGATTGTTGGCAGGTCTGGCCACACACAGCTATGCAAATGATTTCCTAGATTTTTTTCTAAATATTGCCCTGTTAGACAGTAGTTATTTGCTGCTGAGTAGCCCAAGGCATTCCTTCAGAAGCACTTTTATTGTATACTGGGTTTCCTGAAA